TCGTCTAAGTGATAAGGTTTCTCAGCTTTTACCACATCGAATTTTAGTTCAATGTGTCTAAAACTGACAGGGTTATAATCTATTTTACATGATGTGTATACAGTACCATATTTACGCTGATGGCTCCAGTAAAAAAAGAAACAAGGCTAACTTCAACAGTTATTGCTAAAGTGTTGGGCAAAAGTCTTGAGCAATGTGTAGTGCTTTGAGTTTGAGTCGAGAGCTGTTCTCAGCTACTACCAGGGCAGCAGGATATTGGACAAACCTGTAAATGTGGGTGATCTGGGTTCAGAGCAAAAAAAAAAAAAAAAAAAAGAAAAACATTTCCATTCTAGCATGAATTTTTAAAAAGTATGAAGAGATCCATCCAATTGCCCAAATACAGTCCACAAAGGGCTCCAGTTGATTGGCCTGAGTAACAAAACTCATAAATTAAAAAAAATCAACAATTTTTGGTCCCAAACGCCATCAGTATTCTCAATCAAACCAAGTGATAACGCATATCTGACTGAGCTGCTAGGGGTGGAGCAATTTTGAATCTTTTGTAAGAAAGTGTGTTTTTATGACCTTATTTTATGAACTTTTATAGGTTTTTAGTGTTGTGTTTGATATGTTGTTCTGTATATTTTAGTATATTACATGTCTGTTGAGCCAGGGAAAAATGTCCACTTTGGTGTACATTAAAGTTCTATTCTATTCTATTCTATTCTATTCTATTCTATTCTATTCTATTCTATTCTATTCTATTCTATTCTAAATAGACACATTTTGAAACATTTTTGCAAGCTAAATTTTTGCAAAACTTAGAATTTAATGCAACAAAATAAAACTTTAAATAAATTTCAATTAATTCATATAGTAAAATGTAATAATACACATTCCTTTACACATCACCTCTACCATTATCAGCCAATCACCCCCAATGTCTGGCCCCCTAGCTCAACTTTTGTAAAAAATGACTGAGCGGTACTCATTTTTTGTTGGCTGAAAATGATTAGCTGTGGCGGCCATCTTGAATAGGATGAACACCATAAATTATACATCCAATGATACCTTTCTGAGGGTTTTATTAAAATTTGTTCAGTGTTCATGAGATATTTTGCTGTGACATTCTCGTCATCAGTACTTCCTCCCTAAGCAGCTGTCCAAATATCGTTGGTCATGACAAGCATGAAACTTTGAAAAGAGAAAAAAGTAGAGAGGAGAAAGAGAGCTTTTAATTTCTCTCCTCCTAAAATGTCTGAGCAACGACAGTAACAGGAAGTCATTCATGTTACCTCTGTTGCCACTTCGCTCCTATTCATCAGAGGGCCGTTTGAATAATCACGGAGCAGCTGCAGATGTGAGGCACCATTCACATCTCCAGAACTCAGAGCATCAAATCGAGTGAATTTGAGACTTTTATCTTCTTTAATTATGTAAATCACACGCCACAGACGTTTCCTATCAAGTCGAGAGGCAACGCTTTTTTCTTTTCTCTCAGAAAAATTTTCAGTGAGACTCCAGGGAGAAGCAAGACGAAGCAACAATCCTTGAAATGCACATTAAAGGGAAAAGTTGTCTGGGTTATTTATCGTTGAAGGAAAAAATGAATGGGTCCTTCTTTTACGCCACACTCTAGATTTTGGGTTGCAGACTTCCTTTCACTGCATCAAAAATAGGTTTCTAAGTAACTCAGCAACAAACTTTAGAAAGCCTGTGCTGCAGTTACACTTACTTATCTCATGATTATTAGCAACCTTTTAAGTTTGCTTTCTCTGCTTTCTCTGCTTATTTGCTTTATGTGGCAACGATTTTGAATCATGTTGACTCCAAATGTTTATCAGCTGTAGATAAACCTCTAAAAGTTTAATTTAAATCAGGGGTGTCCAACTCATTTTCACTGAGGGCCACATGAGCTTCATGGTGGTCCTCAAAGGGCCAGTTGCAACTAACTTTGACTAAACATGAATCATGTGGCTACAGCTGAAGGCAGCTAACAAAACAATAACTGAACTCTACATGGTATTTCCTGCATAGAAACAGCATTTAAACAAATCCTCTTMAGGCCYTGTCACACTAGACAACTTATGCCAACTTATGAACATTTTAATCTACAATGAAGATGGAATTGAAAATAAATCAACAGGAAGCTTCTTTTCAGAGTGTACATAATGTAATTCTAACAAATTGATCAAATATATAACTTATCAGCAATTTCGACATGAAAATGTTTCATAAGTTGGCRTAAGTCATCTAGTGTGACAGGGTCTTTATAAACACTGAAAAGTACTAAGTGTACAACTGACTAAATGTGACATACACAGTACAGAAATACTATTAAAAGCAAAAATAAAAGAGTTTTACTCACTTTTGAGTTATGGTAATAGCTGTGGGGTTGAATTTTGAAATCTTCCACATTCTGCAGAGAATCCCCATGCTTAATCAATCAATGCTGGCTTTAAAGTAGCTTATTTTGAGACATTAATACAGGGCTATTTAACTAAATTGCWCAGGGGGCCACAGTTACTCAAAGTCAACAACTCAGGGGGCTGGACAAGTATTATTATCCTTGAGCTTTTTAAATAATTTATGTAGTTGTATTGACTCATAAATTTGATGTTTACAACTGATATAAAATATATTTCTATATTAAATCAAGCAAGAAAAACATTCTGGTGGGCTAATCAGAAGTCTCCCGCCAGCCAAATATGGCCCATGGGCCTTGAGTTTGATATGTGATTTAAATTAATCCACTGGTTCATGAACTGAAAGTTAATGACAAATGAACAGGAAAAGAAATCAGTATCACTTGTCTTTTTAAGAGCAGGAAATAAAAAGCTACAAAATGGCTTTGAAAACCAAACTATTCAACGTGAGCGCATGCGTCTTCTTTTTTATGGACACCTAAAAAAGTAAAAGCGCCATAGAAATAGTGCAAGAAAATGGTTATTTGTGACCAGTCTTTGAGTGTTTTCCTGTAGAGTTGAGATAAAAATCTCAGCGAGATAGGAAAAAAAGAGAATCAAATACAATATTTCTTAAATGCACTTTCAAGAAAACAAAAATGTCACCTTGTGTGGAAAAATATAACCTTTATTTTAGTTACCTTCTCTTTTCAATTCTTCCGTAAAACAGTCATTAAACAATACGACTTTTATCACAATTACAAAAAACCAGACTGAGTAAGAATTTACTTGCTGTGCCAGATTTTATTGCTCTAAATGTCACAGTATCACAGTAATCTGGAACGAAGAGCTCAACCATTCTGATTTCTCTGAGTCATTACAGACAGATCTACACCGCTGTTCACCTCAGCAGCTTTCTCCTCAACAGCCTGCAGCTGGTAGCATGTTATTTGGATGAAAGGTCTTTGTACTCCACATGTGCTTGTCACATAAACAATGACACACTCAAACATCTTATGGCAAAAGGCCCCCTGCAGGTGCAGCGGACGTGGAGGAAAAAAAACTGGCACAACCTTCCTGTTTCTTGGCACCATGCCTTTCATGGCTCAAATCCACTGCAAACACACATAAATCTTGGACCGTCTGAGCCAATATAACAACTGCATCCTCGATTTTTTTAATGCCGGGGTGCAAATTTATGGTTTTGCTACCCACATAAGCAACAACGATTTTGATTGAGATTGGTAGCTTCAAGACTTCGCTGGCCCTTTGCTTGAAATAATCAGGGAAACATCACTAATGTAAACCATGTTGCTGAAGAAATAGTAGTTATAACTCACTTTTTGTCATAGAGGTTAAATAACTGAGGATTCAATCAACATCGGGTTGAGAATTCCCATTGCACCTACACCCAGTGGCGGATCTAGGATTTTTCTGAGTAAGGGGCCATCAAGGGGCCACAATTTTCAAAGAGGTGCCAAGTATTTGTTCAACATCCTTTCACACAAATTCCCAGTGCATACATTTTACACTTCAAACACTTGTAATGTAATGTATTTTTTAAAAGTTACCACTTTACAATAAGGCCCCCCTTATAGATGGCTTTGAAAAAGTTTTATAGTTAGGTTAATAATTAAGGTTAATAATTAATCTGTAAACACTTTAAAAACATTAATACATGTTTATTATGCAATAATTAAGGACGAGAAAGAGACAAAATTGTCCAGTTTCATTTAATAATGATTTATGAAATGTAAACTTTACAAATGAATTAATAACCTATCTATAAACTCTTTATAAGCCAAGGGGAGATTGATTGTAAAGTGGTACCAAAACTCTTGCACAGTAAATTCTCCTCACCAGTTTTTCATACATTTTACTGTACATAGATAAAATATTTTCAAACACGTGAGAGAATCCAGCCATCATTTGCCAGTTGAAAGACTTTTTTGCAGGATTGTTCACATTTTAAGAAGAGAAGAATTCTGTAAGCTTGCTTCATTTTGGACTTTACTATTTTGACTCATTAGCGCAACTAGTGTTTGAACATGGAACTGCACCCACCATCATCACCCACAGGTAAAGGACAGATGAGTGGCAGGACAGGGGCACTTCAGGGGGCCAATCAGATTTCAGCTGGGGCCAATGCCCCTGTGGCCCAGCCCCTGCCTGCAACTACATGATGTGAGCAAAYATAGTTCTCAAATTTCCTGTTTTTGTTGCCATCAGTCGTCACAATGTGTAGATTCAGGCAGATAAAAGAGGCAGTTTCCCACAGAACTAAAGTAGAAACAATGAAGCTTTTCCAATTAGACCAAAGAAGGTTCAAACTCCTCCACATCACTCTAAAGATTTAAAATAAAAAAGGAAAGAAAAAAAACAAAACAACACTGTCAGTTCAGTGATAGCTCACCGCCAATGGTTCTACTGGCCGTGTGCTGACAGACAATCAATTAAACTGCAAAAAGCTCCCCAAAGGTCGAGACCCGCAGGAAATCCCTGCTATTCATTAGGAATCATGCTGCTGAAGCCATAAAACCTGCAACTGCTTAAAAAAAGAAGGAAACAAGTTGACCTAAGCAGCAAACAAAGCAACCAATAAGGGAAACCTACCTGCTGTGAAGTTGTAACTTGCTGAAAATCCCACCCCTTCCAGTTCTCCATCGGTTACAAATTTTATCCACAGATATCGGCCACTGCTCCTGATGTCTGGCGGGCCGTGCTGCCCGCAGTACCGGCCCAGCATCGGGGAAAAGCCAAACGGTCCATCCCGAACCTCGATGTTGTCAAATTTACATTCCCAAGAGGACTCGATTGAATAACTCTCCTCAAAGTGTAGATCAATACACTGCCTTGGGGGAGCTGGGAGGAAACAGTGAAAACAATTAGCACGAAGCAGTGGAGTAAAATACAGGCTGAGTTTTTACTGATTAATATTTCACCTGTTTTATCAGCATCATGCGTGCAGTCTATGTCTCTTTAATCATTGCTGCTAGTTCATTTCTAAACATGATGATAATCAACGAGCAATCCTCTTTCTACATATGAATAAAAGAAATRCTTTTGATTTCTAACGAGCAATACTTTTAGTCATTTATTGATTTTCCCCATCAGTGAAACCACAGGGAAGCCAAAGTTCTGAATAAAAACAGCTACATCACCTTGTTGTCTGAATGCTGATTCAGCATTTACACTATTGTTGTCCTTATTTTGTAAATTATAATCATTATTAAATGTTTTTGCAATGTAGTTACTTGGGCATACTTTGTTTTAAAAACATTCTGGTAATTCAACAGATGAACTCTATGACGTCATGTTTTTTTTAGTGTTATACTTTTTGAAATATTTTTCTTCAATCCCTTCAATATCATTGTTCTCTTTGAAATCTACTTCAGCCACCTTCCTCTGTTTTTGTCTTTTTTATGCTACTTTTACTTTCAGCAATTATTCTGCTACTTTTGGTTACCTCTGTTTTGTTTCTTTGGGTTAGCCTTTAGCTTTTTTTTTTTACCAGTACTTTTAGTGCTTTTGTTATTTTTAGGAACTAGCCCGCTACATTTTAGGCTCTTAAAGCAAGCTTGTATTTTTTTGTTCACTTTTAACTTGCATTTTGGTACTTTGTTAGCTACTTACTACATTTAGTTATTAACCTCTTGCCACTTTTAGTTTCTGTTTTGGTGTTTTTTTTAACCTCTTTGGTTACTTTCAGCTAGTGYTTTACTGCTTTTAGTTGCAGCTTCTTTCAGCTTTACAACACAGTTTTAGTTTCTTCTGCAAATTTCAGCAGAGGATTATGACTTAGCATTCACACTGCCTTAAAAAACACAATTTCTTTCTTTTTTTATTGTTTTGTGCCACTGAGTGTAAACATCGTCCTCACCTTCGAGGATGTAAACACACTCTGTGTTCGGGGGGTATTTGTTTGGGTAATTGGGAGACGTAAAGAGCCCTCCTTCTGGTTCTTTCACCCACGTTCCACACTGACCTGCAGGCTTCACTCCAGAGTTGTTTTTCACTTAAAACAAGAAAAGACAAACTGTCAACAAATATAACTCAAGCAAGAGCATATAGGGATAATCTGGTGATGGGGGCTACCTGTATCCTTTTTTGTTGCTCCAGACAACCCAAGTAGGAGCAGACTTGCAACAACTGTGAACAGACAGAATTATTATTATTATTATTATTATTATTATTAGGTTTGATTAAAAATTCAAAAAGTAACAATAAATTATCATTTTGGTCAGAAGAAAACAGCTTTATTAGTTGGTTATTCCTTTGAAAATTATAAATATATTAGGGGTAAATAACAAATAATCTAAACAAATGACTGTTTCATTATTTTATTAACATTATCTTTAGTAAAACATTCAAAAAATATCTAAGCACTTGTGCTGTGACCTTCAGTGAGTTTCCCTTTTATCACAATATAGTCCTTGATTTCTCTTTATCTGTTGCTTTAAAGTCCTCCACCACTGATCAGCCTGAATCATGTGGACTTTTTCTTTTGTCTGATGGCAAATGGCGCAATAAGATCAACTGATCAATTGTGATTTAAATGATGAGAAAGGTGGTTGTCTTACCGTGATGGAAGCTGTGCCCATGTACCATGTCTATTTCTTTCACAAACGGCTTCAGACTCAACTAATTCCATTTAGATTTAAGAGGGAAAAAAGACAAAGATGATAGTTTGTTTTTGCAAATTCATACAACCTTAAAAAAGCAACTATKTATCAATATATAAAGTGAAACAAAAATCTTCTTGTGATGTCTCAAAATAACTAATCACCAGTTTCATATAAAACCAGAAACAGTTCCAAACACTCGCCAGATTTCCATCCAAACGTTTCCAAAACGCTTTGGTGCCTTTGATGCACTGAAAGGATTAATAGTCCCTTCATCAGCCCTTCTCTAATCGCTCCACCTTTGCGATCTTCTTTCAGCAAAGAAAAGAGAAGATAAAGAAAAAAAAAGATGCGGACAGCCTTGTCCTTTTTGGTTCCTATCAGGAACGGGAATCCTTCAGACGCATCCAGGACCGCGCAACACTCATCTCTGCGGCGTTTCCTTCAGTCCTCTGTGGTGCGTAAAATTCACCAGGAAAAAGACGCGATCTGGAGGAGATTGAAGATTTATCCACAGGAAGAGGCAGGAGCTCGCGTGGGCTTCATCCTTTCCCCTCCCGCGTGCCTCTGTCTGAGTCTGCTCCTCTCTGCAGGAGTTAAGGTGGAATCTGTCTCCCCTCTTCCTCCTCTCCTTCATCCAGACCAGCACCGACCGGAGCGCCGTACTTCCAATGCGCAACAATCTCTCCCCTCGCGCTTTTACCACGCACGCGTTGTCAAACTTCTCCAGCACGCGGGATCATCTCATCCAGATTGAAGTGAAGCAGTAAAAACGCGAACTGCTGAAATCCAGTTTTAAACAGAAGAAAACGGTTCAAAAAATAAAATAGGATGGGAAGAAAACGTCGATTTAAAGAAACAAAAATGAAAATAAGATGTTTGCCATTAAAATAAACAATATAAAACAAAATGAAATAAAATAAATAAAGCTCCTTGAAGGATTGCACGTTTAGAAGTCAGGTTCAGAGAATGACTCAATTACCACATTAAATTAGCCTTTAGCTAATTTTTTTTACAGCCTAATGATTTGTGGCGGCCATCTTGAATTTAGTTAATTCCAAAAGTCCATTAGATGTGCATCTTGGTTGTTTTCTGCAGGTTACAATAAAATTGGTCCAGTGGTTCATGAGGTATTTTGCTAACAAACAAATCTCAAACATTTTCTTTCTGGTTTTATGACCGTGGGCAATTAGGAATCCTAAAATCGGAGTTAGAGCTAAACTTTCAGGCGATCACATTGGTGTTTAAATTCTCCGGTACCTAACCAAGTTTCCAGTCTCTTCCCTTTAATAGAAAGAGAAATGATGAAGGAAGATAAACTGTACTTTTTTTTCTTTTCCCACTAAAACACCACAGAGCCCTGCCCCAATGTGTGACTGTCAAGATGCCCTCCTTTCCCTTCAAGAGTTGTCGCTCTCACACCTGACGACAAAACTCATCACAGGATCCTCAGGGASACTCAGGGGCCTTGGCTCTCAAAATAGTCTTGGCACTCAGGAGACTATATACTGTATACTCCCACTGCAGCAGTTTCATCCTCACTTCCTTTGTTTTTGTGTGTGTGAAAGTGGGGTTCGGTTGAGAMCAGTTATTAGTATTTCACCCATTGAAGGTAGCTCTTTAAAACTTCATATTTGAACTATAAGTATTTTGACTGAGCAGGTCCAATTCCAATCTCACCAATTTCACAATGGTTAATATGAATGACAAAAATAAGTAGTTGTAAGTTTGCATGATTTGGTTTTTGGTAGAGAAATCATGTTTTATCAGCTCCCACAATAAACTCCAGTCGTATAACTAGCTTCTATATATTGCTGCTATTTGCTCCATGAAACATGCAGCATACTCTGCTTTCTCTGAGGTTTTATAAAAATGTTTCAAAATATTGTTTTTGTTCAGTCTGTCAGAAGTCTTAAGAATATTGGTAATACATGAACTAAAAGACAGTAAACAGCTCGATAGCTTGTTCCTGATTAAAATTGGTGTCATGCTTCTCAGCTTCTGATGGGTAAACTTTACGATAAAGCAGCAAAGCAATATGGGAAAAAATAAACCGAGCCTTATCTGACACTTAGTATGCAACAATAGCCGTGATTAATCCAACAACTGCCTCCAGTAAAGAAATATAAACTGCCTTTTCAAAAAGCACCGAGGCAGCGGAAGACTCTCAGGAATAATTCATTCAACACCTGACTTAGAGTACTGCCATTTTTAATAAACAAAGTCCATCGTCTGGCTGAGAGATAACAATTGTGCTGTGACCACCTCACCTAAATTTGTAATAATAATCAGTCTGGGGGAAATGGGACATGAAGACGTGGAAGCAAATGTTTTACCTTCAGCACACACTTAGCCATACAAACATCAACAATGAGTCATTATGCATGTTCCGCTTCGTTTGAGGCTTCATTTTTTTTTGCTTTCTCATTGGCAAAATGCAAAAACTCACAATTTGTTGTCCCTGGTGACATCCGTCACAGCAAACATGCAATTCTGACAGATTTGCAAAACCGTGAGTAAGTTAAGGATGCATTTTTCCCCCATTTAAAACGCGATGATTAAATTAAAGCTTCAAGTTTAGTGTTGTAATGACGCTGCAACCCCGTTTTCCTTTTGTCTGTCTAATGAGGGACAGCACTAAAGAAGAWAAACTCTTAAGCTAATGCCTCCTGGCCGATGAGACTCAAATTAACCCTATTAGTGATGCACTGAGCAGTGTGCTGATCTAAAAAAACACAGTTTTTTGACATGCAAGGTGCCTTGTAGTTCATTAAGCAAGAAGTCAGCTACAAGAAAGGCTTTCTTCAAACACAAGCAAATTCTGTCGTTCTTTATGCTTCATTAGGTGTTCGGGACTGAGGTGATAGTCTGTGTTTATCCTGGTCCTGCACCTGGAGCAAGCAAAAATAAAATAAAATAAAAACCTCCATCAGGTGATAGCCTGTTCCAGATTTGTGGCTCTGTCTTACACTGAGGTGTTTTTGTTAGTTTGTTATGCAAAATGCAATTCTAAGCCCTGGGCTATCTTACACCCTCTCAGAAAGTCCCAACATATCTTCAATTATGAGAGAAAAAACATTAAATAACAAGCAAAAACAAATACTGTAAGAGTATTTTTTTCAAGTACCAACTTAATAACAAAAAGGATGACAATTATTTCTTTTTCTGTAGGTCTTAAACTTTCTTTCTGCAACATCAATAAAATATTCAAATAATCTTTGTGTTCAAAATCTAAAGAAAGACTTTGCAGTCTTTGTTAGATCAAGACAAATTCTTTAAAAACAGTGACAACCAGAAATATTAGGTTTTTAGTTCATAAAACAACTTTAACACAATCAATAAATGAGCAGGGATGCATACTGCCTATCATTTCACAAACCAATATTTTAAACTAAAATTTTCCATGTAGAGATGTGACATTTGCAAATGATCCAAATCTTTTGAACGGCTCTGAAACAAATAACTCGTCAATCTGGATCCCTTCAAAGAGCCATTTATCCAGTCTCTAATTGCATGATCTGGTAGTGCTGGAAGTGGGTGTTGGGGATGTCTCTCAGCTACCACCACACCACATTTTAACTCAACAACTTTAATGCCAGTTTTCAGTGCAAACGTCTCTCCAAAATAAATAATCTTTCCTTAATTTCTCCAAAATCTTTTGTTTTACTAAACCATCTCAGCGTACCAATTTAAACTTTCACATTTTTCTCTCTCAGGTCTCGTCAGTGCTGCAGCTCATCTGTCAATCACTGGCTTTGTCCATCCAGCAAGTATCTAAGCACAGGAAGGCAGCTGCATGCTCCGAGCTCAAGCGTTTGCTAAATTGCAAAGGTTGATGTCTGCGCCTTGGAAAGTAATTTTCTTTGCCATTGTGTCACCACTTACCACTTCCTTTCATGCCAGAAAACTTGGCAGAAAGGAAAGAAATGATTTTCAAAACATTTGGGTTAACATGCCCTCTGCAATCTGTCCGGTGTTTAAAGTCCCCAAGCGCCTCGGTTAAACTGACTGTATAATTCGTCATTCACCCTCATTAGCCATTTAGGCAGTGTGCCACGGACACTGTGGAGTGACACTATGAGCACAAACACCAGGGTGTGTTGCAAAAATGCCACTACACTTTGGGGGGCTTGAAGCCAAGTAGTGAAATATAAAGTTTTGTAAAATAGCATAAACRTGTTGAATATTGTTTTTAGATAGCAGCTGCTACAGCTTAGAGTGGAAGCAATACTCTGATACAAAAAGCAGCAAAGATTTTAAATTAGTTGATTTCTGCTCCAGAAATTTGCAGGTCATCTCAGATTATCCTAAATAACCTAAATAGGATGTTAACATGCTTTATTTGTTTTAAAAGATCCAACTGGTTGATCATATAATATACGGTTGGTGTATTCACACCAGGAAAGTCCTTTGGTCCACTTGTTTGGTTCGGACCAAATCGCAGACTTTAATGTTTTTCCTTTGGTGCGGTTTGCATTCACACTGTGCTTTTTGCAAGTGGACTATAATTTATAAACAAAGCCACGCAGGTGATGGCCATTGCTCCCATTGGACAGAAATGGTGTGGCCAAACAGAGCACAGACCCAGAAATAAAGATGGTTCCGTTAATACAACTGGCTATTAATGAAAAGCAGCTCAGTGGAGGTTTTGCAATGATATAATTTTGGGACAACGTTGCCAAATGCGTGCCTCAACCTAAAGGAGATGAGATGCTCCATGTTCCATGACCCACAACGGCTCATTTTTTTTTCTTACCACTTCAGTAGAAAGCAGTACTAAATATCTGAATATTAGTATCTTAGCTTCTTCATCATCTGTGTTTTTTTTAGATAGACAAGAAAGAAGAAGAAAAAGGAAAAAAGAAGGAAAGGAAAGAAAAGATACAATGTAATGGAAAAAAGTGAAAGAAAGAATTGATACGTGAGATATACGTCAAGAAAAAAATACAATACATCCAACATCTGTCTGCACACCTGCAAAGAATTAAGGTAACAAAACTTAGCAAAAGCATACATATGTACATTTAGACAGATAAACAAACACCCACCTGTATGCACCTGGTGATCATTCAGAACCTCTCGGATCTGAACACCTGTCTGTGTGCGGTTGTGAGCAAGCACAAATTTACAGTATTTCTCCAACGGAATGTATAATAGTGACTGTGGGGGAGTCCCAGAGCCGACCCCCAAGGCACGAGGCAGACATAAGGGGAGGCCAGAGCCAAAAACCCCGGGAGGAACCCCCAGCATCGGGCCCCCGGGTACACCTACGCAAGAGCCGCACACCCACCCCCAGGTCAAACCATAGGGGAGACCCAGGAGAACCCCACCAGCGACCACACGCATCAGCCCCACAATGGCCCGCAGCGACGAGCACGCAGGCCCCCGCTGACACCCGCTGCGCTAGGGCAAGCACGGGCATGGGCGCCCCTCCCCCAAGCCGAGAGCCGACAGGGCTCATTGTTTGCAACGCAGTGTTAGCATTAGCAACACCGAAGGGCTAATGTTGCTTAACAACGGTGGCTCATAAAGTCCAAAAGGCGCATATTACCTGTAGTTGGTTTGGTTCAAAGCCGGTCTGTATTCACACCAGAAGAGAACTGCAGAGTCTGTTTGGAAGAGGACTGAGACCACCTCAAAAATCCACAGCAGGGTTCAACTGAGTGTGTTCACACCTGCATTAAAAGG